AAGCCCAAGAGTTTGAGGTTGCTGTGAGCTGTGACACCACAGCACTCAACTAAGGGCGACAAAATGAGACTCTGTCTCAAAAAAAAAAAAAAAAAGAATATACTATATGGGTATACAGTAATTACACACCTAATCAACTTAGCATCCCTCCCCCACTTTTTTAGAGCCAAGGTCACCCAGGCTGGAATGCAGTATCTAGATCATTGATCCCTGTAGCCTTGAACTCCTGGTTCAAGCAAATCAATCTTCCTGCCTCAGCCTTCCCAGTAGTAGGACCACAGGCACTACCACACTTGTTTATTTTTAAATTTTTGTGTAGGAATGGGCTTTCACTATGCTGCCCAGTTTGGTCTCAAACTTCTGAGCTCAAGTGATCCTCCTGCCTCAGCCTCCCAAATTGCTGAGATTATAAGCATAAGCCACTGCATCCAGCTGCCAGTCCACTACTGATGGACTCATAGGTTGTTTCCACTGTTTTCCTTTTGCAAAGCAGTCTATATTCTGATATGAAACTATCTTCAAGATGTATTCATTACTTTTGCTGTAATGAATGGCCTTGTACATAGGTTGAGAACAGATTTACTGAGGCAGAGGTGGATGGGAGGGCAGAAGAGGCTGTAAAGGGAAAGGAGCCTAGGGAGGGCCTGATTACCTATTCCCAGGCTGGCCTAGCCCTCCTCCTCCTGCCTCCTTCTCTCCATCCTGAGCTGCTGGTATCTCCAGAGAGGAAGGGCCAGACATCGATGCCCGACAGGACTGGGGTTCGGGTTCCACTGGCTGGAGGTTGAGCATGCCTTGGAGAGAAGGATCTTGGGGACTTGGGGCCTGGGGCTGGTACTGTCCTTGGGCTGTAACCACTGAGGGCACATACTCAATATGCCCTGAGGACTCTGGTAGGGAACAAAGCTTCGGGGACTAAGGACTTCCAAGGGAAGGCAGGGAGCTGGAGGAGGCGGTGGGGCAGTACCCAGCAACTCTGGCACCGACTTGCTTCGGGTGCCCAGTGCAGGTGGGTGGTCAGGGCACAGAGTGTGGCAGGCAGTGGTGAGGAAAGGACTGGCCAGGCTGGTCGTGAGGGTCACAAGGTGGTCTAGAACACCTCCCTCCTGAGGAGACTGGGCAAAAGGGAGACTCAAGGTGGCCTGTAGCCGCTCTAGGAGGGATGGAGCAGCTTGAGCCTGGGCCTGGGCCTGGGCCACAAGCCCGGCCAAGGCCGGCCACTCAGGCTGGTAATGCTGGCTGAGCTGCTCCACTCTAGGCCTCCGCAGTAGCTGCCGGATCCTCCACACTGTGTCGAAGCTGTCAGTGAGCACTGCCCACTCCAGGGCTGTCTTGCCCCTAACAGGATCCACTGCTGTCAGGTCAGCACCTGGGAGGAGACATAGGGGTGATGTGGAGTGGGATAGAGACCGGTGATTAGTGGAAGGGCAGATTCTGTAGCAGCAAGATCGACTGGGTTAGATTCGAAACCATAGAGTCTCATCCTGTTGAAGCTGCAGTCTTGGCGGCCAGTATTGCAACCTGCTGTTTGAGAGAGATGAGGAGATTTATGGCCAGAGAGGGGGAAAGACTTCAGGGGAGTGGTGTGCAGGCTGCCCAGGACAGGTGGTGGCCTGAGTGGCATGCTCTGGGACTGATGGGGGGTGTTCTGCTGCTTCCTTCCCCTGGTTCTTTTCATCACCACACCCCCCTAATCCTGGGGTTGGGGAAGGATCAGTCACTCTGAGGCAAAGAAAGGGGTTTGGAGCTCCCTCCTTCTCCCCTCAAACCCAGTCTGGTGGGGTGGGGCAGGGAAAAGCTAGAGGCTGGCGTCCACTGCACTCTCCACTGCACAGAGAATAATGGGGGCCCACAACTCTATGGACAATGTGGACTACAGTCCCAAACAAGTCTGCACAGCCCAAGCCTCAAGGACACCTCATAATGTTCCCTGAAAGTCTGTCTTGTCAGAGCTGAAGGTCATCCGAGGAAAGCCAACACCCTTCAGATACTGGTGAGGCCTCCAGAGGAAGCCATCTGCCCGGGGCCACTTAGCCAGTGACAGAGCCAGGACTAGACCCCCAGAGTCTGGTTCCAGACATCAGCCTTTTTTTTTTTTTTAGGTTTTCCAGCTGGCTAGGTTACCCTCCTGAGCTTTCCTTCTCTCCTCTCGGCAACTAAATGATAGGTGACTCAGTGTCTGGTGGGGAGCTTGGGGAACAGACTGGAGGCCACACAGCCTGCTCTAAGTCCCACACACCTGCCATGAGGAGGGCTGCCACGCATTCGGAGCGGTCCCGCATAGCAGCCTTCATTAACGCTGTGAGCCCCCTCTGGTCCCGGCGCTCCAGGTCTATGCCGGCATAATAGTTGAGCAGAAGACTCACTAGAGGCACGTGGCCTGCAGGGCACAGAGGGCAGAGCTTGGCCTCTGGGAAAGGAGGTGACAAAGCTCCAAACCCACCCTCTACCCAAGGGGACAGAGCCTGGCACAGGAGAATGTTGTTCAATGAGCATGGGGCTGTCGCCCCATCTGCCCCAGAGGGGCTGGCGGAGGGTGAAGCTCAGCAGCCTCGCACCTGCTTGGGCAGCCAACATGAGTGCTGTGTTCCCTTCTTTGTCCTGCTGGTTCACATCGAGGAAAGAACAGCGACTGAGCAGGGCCACAACACTCCCAAAGCCGTGGTAGCAGGCGATCATGAGGCCTGTCTGAGGGCAGGGCAGCTCAGTCCCCTGCTTTCCTCCAGGGGCTCCCCAATCCCCCTATGTTCTCTAAACCTACTTTTGTCCCAGAAGCTGCCCCAACCCCTGTGAAGACCCACCCTCACCCACTCCCTTCCTCCTAAGGACAAGCAGTGGGTATTGACCAGGAAACCCTCTCAAGAAGTCAGATCAGGATGGTGTGGTGGGAAGACAGAGCTGCCCCTAGCTGTCCTGGGGCATCTCACCCTCCCATTGCGGTCCACCTGGGTGGCCTCCTCTGGAGAGACCCCACCTTCCAGTATGGCTTGGAGCTGGGTGGGGTCATTATGGACACAGGCCCAGTACAGGGCCCCTAGCCTGCAGCCTGGGACAGAGGTCTCACTGCTGGGGCAGGAAAGTGCCTCAGACATGTCCAGCCTTCCACTGCTCTTCCTTTTCCAGTCTGGGCCCAAGAAGGCGAGGCCCCCCTCCTCAGGCAACTGGCATCTATAACAGAGAATGGAGAGGAGCAGTGTCTCTGTGGATCCTGGGGGGAAGGAAAGGGGTCCCAGAAGCTGAAAATCACCCTACTCATACGCCAAGGAAAGACTTTATCCCAGTAGGTGCCTGGCCTCCTCCCTGGGGAGGCAAGTGGACAAGCAGCTGGCCAGGAACCCTAAGCAGGCAGGGGAACGGTTCACTCTAGGTCAGGACCCTAGTGAGATTCACGGGGAGAGGGTCATTAGTTTTTTCTTTCCCACCAGCCCTTACCTGAGGTTGCGAGGGTCTCTATGAGGCAGTCATCACGGGGCACCTGGGGCCAACAGCATCCCCCAGACTTCTCAGAGGCAACCTAAGAGGCTTCCTTCCCAGGAAGCAACGCAGGTAACAGATGGTTGGACTTTCAGAAAGAGCTGCTGCAAACACCTCAGGGCTGAGCTGGATCAAGCCGGGTTAGGAAGGGATTGGGGGCCTGCAGGGGCTGGGGCTCTCATCTCCAAGCAGACCAAGAGCCGCCCCAAGATCCTGTGGAGTGGGCGGGGCCTGTGGCGGGCAGCCCCGCCCTGCCAGGGGCGGGCTCTGAAGGACTTCCCGCCCCGAACGACAGCCCTCACCCTAAGCCTTACGGGGACAGCAGCTGAGCTTACAAACCCAGGCTTTAAAGGCTGTGGGGACCTAATTCCGATGGACTGAAGTCTCCCACCCCAACCCTTGCTTTGGGGGAGTAGAACTTGGGGAAGGTATGATGGTAGGAGAGGGTGTGACTAAATAGGATTGGGAACTACGTGAGGTGGGGCCTCTCGGTATTACCCGGACTTATCTTTTAAGGTTCTGGGGAAATCAAAACATGACAAATTGTTAAATAAGAGTACATAAATTATGATATATTTAATTTAATAGATTAGTTTTAGTTTGGTAAATTAAATATGAAATACTAACTAATAATTATTAAATTATTACTTAAATTAATATTAAATGTAGTGGATTGCTTTTGGACCTCAAGTAGAAAACTGAGCCAGTTGATATTCCTCCATTTGTATCACTCCCACCATCAGATTGTACAAGGCCTTTCATTTTATTTTACTTTATTTAATTTCTCTCTTTCACTCTTAATCCCCACCCCCATTCTCCTCTTTACTAATCAGCACTTATTGATAAACATATATATTTACCAGCACTTATATATTAAAAAATGTACATTTCATTGAAAAAGGTAGTGTTGATTTGTGTGTTTCTAAGTAACATGTTATAAATTGTGCTACAAAGTTCATTGTCTTATTCACTCGATATTGGTTTTTTATTGTTGCTGTTGTTGTTTTGAGACAGTCTCACTATGTCACCCTCGCTACAGTGCTGTGGCATCACAGTTCACAGCAACCTCCAACTCTTGCACTTAAGTGATTCTCTTGCCTCAGCCTCTCAAGTAGCTGGGACTACAGGTGCCTTTCACAATATCCAGCTATTTTCTTGTTGCAGTTGTCATTGTTAGCTGGCCTAGAACGGGTTAGAATTTGCCAGGCTCCGTGCATGCAGCTGGCGCCTTAACCACTGTACTACGGGTGCTGAGCCACTCTATGCTGTGTTTTCAAGATCCACCCTTGTGGGTGGTGCCTGTGGCGCAGTAGGTAGGGCGCCAGCCCCATATACCGAGGGTGGGGAGTTCTAATCTGGCCCCAGCCAAACTGCAACAAAAAAATAGCCGAGCATTGTGGCAGGCACCTATGGTCCCAGCTACTCAGGAGGCTGAGGCAAGAGAATGCCTAAGCCCAAGAGCTGGAGGTTGCTGTGAGCTGTGACTCCACAGCACTCTACCCAGGGCGACATAGTGAGACTCTGTCTCAAAAACAAAAAAACAAAAAAAACCCTTGTTGCTTTATAAACACACAGTGTATCAGTTAGGAGAGCATTTCGTGGTAAGTAACCAAAAGTTGGTGATATCATTTATCACTTGGTGATAAACTGGTTGCTCAACATCAATTCCAAACTCTTCTGAACTGCAGAAACTGGAAAGCTAAAAAAACAACACTTCCCAGATTCCCTTGAGCTGGGAATTTGTGGTTTAGGTTCTGCTCTTGTGCAAGATAAAAATTTGGAACAGAGCCACACAACATGGGACATGCGTTTTGCTGTCACAGGTCATGACAGCTGCAGTGGGCTGCTAGCATGCGGCTTCCTGACTCACCATCTTCCCGTAGTAGGGACTGTTGTTTTCCCAGTTGTGGGCAGAGATCATGTGACTCTCAAAGCTGCGCCTTGTCCCTGGACCTAGAGTTTGCTACTCTATCTTTTTCTGTTTAAACTAATCAGATTTATTTCTCCTGTTTGCAGTTGAACTTTGACACACGTGGCTTAAACAGGGGTTTATTTTTTCACACATGATAAGTTCAGGGATAGGAAGCTGTTGGTGTTGGTTAAACAATTTGATGGTGTCAGGGCCTTGTCTGGGATTCTCTTGACTTTTTCTCCCAGTCACAAGATGATGGCTACATCTTTGCTATCACAGTAAAATGTGGTAGATGTGCAATATGGAATTCTATGCAGCAGTTAGAAGAAATCTACCAGATCCTATGTCAGACATCTCTCATAACCCCCTTCTCTCTAGTCGCCTTTTATTTTATTTATTTTAATATTTTTTCTTGTTTTGAGACAGACTCTCACTCTGTCACTCTGGGTAGAGTGCCATGGTGTCATAGCTCACAACAACCTCAAACTCCTAGGCTCAAGTAATCCTCTTGCCTAGCCTTCCAAGTAGCTAAGACTATAGGAGCCCACCAAAACACCTGGCTAATTTTTCTATTTTTAGTAGAAGATAGTGTCTTGCTCTTGCTCAGTCTCGTCTAGAACTCCTGAGCTCAAACAGTCCACCCACCTCAGCCTCCCAGAGTGCTAGGATTATAATGTGAGCCACAATGTCCAGCTCTGGTCACTTTTTAATTAAGTGTGATCATGTAACACAATTTTGGCCATTGAAATTCATATAGGAGTCTGATGGGGCTCAGTGCCTGTGGCTCAAGCCACATATACCTGAGCTGGCGGCTCGAATCCAGCCCAGGCCCTCCGAACAACAATGACGGCTGCAACCAAAATATAGCCAGGCGTTGTGGTGAGCTACTTGGGAGGCGGAGACAGGAGAATCACTTGAGCCCAGGAATTGGAGGTTGCTGTGAGCTGTGATGCCATAGCACTCTACCTAGGGGGACAGCTTGAGGCTCTGTCTCAAAAAAAAAAGGAGTGCTCCAGAGAAAAACTTTGCTTTCTTAATAAAAAGTGTGCGGTGCACCATTTTACTTCTTTCTTTCCCCTTATTCCTGCTGTAAAGAAATCCACAGTGTGCATCTGCCACTTTTTACTGATCCATTCTTCCCATGATATAAATGCCTAGGTTGTCTCCAACTTCCTGTCACGACAAATACATACCTAGCGGTTGCACAGGTCTCTGAGATTGCTGAGTCATAGCACACACATGCTTTCTGACAGGATACTGTCAGATTGCTCTCTGTTTTGTATTGTATGCGGCACATAAGTGTTTCCCTACATCCTCGCCAACACTTGTCATTATTCAGCATTCTAAATGTTGTCAATCTGATAGTACAGAACAAG